TGAACTGTCATAGGCGCAGTGGGTTCTCTGGGAGATGGTCGTGTCTTCCTTATCGCCGATTAGCCAGTGGAAGCTGGGGTCAGTGCGCAGTCGGATAGTTTCCTAGTCGCTGTGTGAGACATAGCTGCAACCTGCATTCAGATCCCCCAGCAACATCACGTCCTAGGGCAGGGGGGGAAGAGAGGACAGTCAGGCCCAGAGGGGAGAGGGGTGGTGTCAGGCGATGCTGTCTGTCAGACCTAAGTTGGTTCCCTCTTTTCCCACCCCACACGCCCGCAACCTCCTTACCTCGATGCCCCACTTGTTCCTAACTTTCTGGAAGACTTTGTAAAGCTCCTCCATCTCCTGCACCGCGTTGTCTGGGGTGGGTGTGCAGACCGAACAGAACAAAGTCTTTAATCGCAAAGAAGACAGAAGTTAGCTTGTCACTTCATTGCAGGAGCTGGGTCACAGCCACAAGCCAACAATTGCAGTCATACAGCAGCCTTTTGGCCCAACTTCCTCTGGCAGTTCGTTCCACGTACAAGCCACCTCTGTGCCCCTCGGCCCCCTTTAAAATCTTTTCCCTCTCACCTTAAACACGTGCTGTCTATATTTGAACTCTACCCTGGGGGGGAAAGACCTTACGTATTCTTCTTATCTATGCCCCTCATGATTTTATAAACCTCTATAAGGTCACCCCTTGAGCCCCCTACGTTCCAAGTGGGGGTGGGGGGTGGAACCCAGCTCCTCCTTATAACTCAACTCAACCCACGCACCCCCACCAAAGTCTCGGTAACATCCTTGTAAATCTTTTTTGCACCCTTCCACTTTAATAACATCCTATAGAAGGGCAACCAGAATTGTACACGCTACTCCAAATGTGGCCTTACCAATGTCTTTTATAGTCGTGAGAAGGTATCTCAACTCTTGTACTTCCACGTTCTGACCAATGAAGGCATGCCAAATGCTTTCTTCACCATCCTGTGACACCACTTTAAAGGAACTATGTACCTGCATCCCTAGGTTTCTATGTTTGACAACACTCCAGGGCCCTGCTATTAACTAAATGCTGTCCTGGTTTATTTTACTGCTGCCTCACAGCACCAGGGACCCAGGTTCAATTCCACCCTTGTGCAACTGCGTGGAGTTTGCACATTCTCCCCGTGTCTGTGTGGGTTTCCTCCGGGTGCTCTGGTTTCCTCCCACAGTCTGTGCAGCTATGGGTGGATTGGCCAAGCTAAATTGCCCATAGTGTTTGGGGATGTGCACATTAGGTGGGTTATAGGGGGATGGGTCTGGGTGGGATGCTCTGAGGGTCAATGTGGACTTGTTGGGTCGAAGGGCCTGTTTCCACACTGCAGGGATTCTGATCTATGATCTAAACTCCACCTGCCCTTCCTCGGCCCACTGGCCCAGTAGATCAAGATCCTGTTGTATTCTTAGATAACCTTCCTCACTTTTCACTATACTACTTACTAACTTTCTAACCATGCCTCCCATATTCTCATCCAAATCGTTTATCTAAATGACGAATAACAGTGGACCCAGCACCAATCATTGTGACACATTGCTAGTCACAGCCTCTAATCTGAACAACGACGCTGTATCGCCACTCTCTGTCTCCTATCGTAAAGCCAATTTTGTATCCAGTTGGCTAGCTCTTCCTGGATCCCATGTGACCCAACCTTACTAGCCAATCCACCATGCAGAATCTTATCAAAGGCCTTGCTAAAGTCCATGTAGACAACATCTGCCATTCTGCTTTCATCTACCTTCTTAGTCCCCTCTTCAGAAAACTCAATCAAGTTGGTGAGCCATGATTTCTCACCCACAAAGCCATGCTGAGTCTCCCTAATCAGTCCTTGCCTTTCCAAATGCATGTAGATCCTGTCGGTCATAATCTCCTCCAACAACTTACTCACCACTGATGTCAGATTCACGGGTCTGTAGTTCCATGGCTTTTCCTTGCAGCCTTTATTAAATAAAGGCGCAACATTAACCACCAGTCTTCCAGCACCTCACCCATGGCTGTTAATGATATAAGTATCTCTGCTAGCGGCCCCACAATTTCTTCCCTAGCTTCCCACAATGGCCTGGGATACACTTGATCAGGTTCCAGTGATTTATCTGCCTTAATGCATTTTATTTAAAACAGTGCCCTGCATTACAGCAGGTAGGGCACAGGGAGGGTGTAACTGAGCTACAGAGCTGGGACTGAGTTGAGATGCTGAATGGCCTCCTCTTGCACATGGAAGCATTCCCTGATGGATCAGAAGCTGTATCTGTGCCATAACTGCACATAACTCCCCCCACGCTCCCCCAAGGGTGAGAAACCGAGCTTTCGAAATGATCAATTAGCTGTTGCCCCAGGATGCAATCTCAAATCCTTACTGGTTCTTGGAGAATGGAACCTAGCGATGAACGGGTCTCGAGCGAAGACACCTGGCTAACCATTCTTGTTATCTTCATACTGGTAACTGTCTGTAATCATGACCGAGTCTGACCTGAGGAGACAAAGGCAACGACCTGAGGATGAAACAACTCCCTTCAAGTTCTCTGGCACGGTTGCTGACTTTTAGACTCCCCTGGGAGTAAACGCCAATGTCCCTCTTGTCTTTCTGACCACTTACTGTCTTTGTGCACCAACACATTGAGCTTCATGTACTGGCACACCTGGATCCCTCTGCACTATTGAGCTTAATGGCTTGCTGATGGTCCACAGCAGATACCCAAGGCTTCCAGCTGACTGTTGACAGCTTCCAGCAGACAACTGGGAAACACACTCAGCTGATGCCTGTTGAACGGGCCGCTATTCCCTGGAGTTTTGAAGAATGGGAGGGGGATTGACAGGGAGGAGATTGAGATGATGTTTCCCCACTGTGCACCCCCCACCCCCTGCCCAATCCTCCACCACGTGGTGGAAAATCTTGAGCGAAGGGGCCGCCATTTTAGAATGAGGTGTGTCTCCAATTTCAGATGGAGATGAGGATGAACTCTGCACAATCACACCCCGAGAACCTGGGGCTGGGTCAGTGACTATATTAAAGGCCTAGTTAGAGTTTCAATCCTCGAGGAGAGGGTTGTGGGGGCATGGGAGAGCAGAGTTGAGGCCACAACCCATAAGGTATAGGCCAACAAGACTGTGCCATTCAATCATAGCTGATATGTTTCTCAATCCAATTCTTCCGCTGTCTCCCCGTAAACCTCAATCCCCAATCTTCCTGAGAGTGGTGAAGGAAGGTTGGAATGACATTGTCCTGGGTCCTATTTCTGGGTGTAGGAAGCAACATGGCCCATCTCTGTAATCTCTCACCCCATGACCCCCCACTAATATTTGCCCATTGCTGTGAGGTACCTGTAGACAAAGACGTACTGTTCCTTATAATGGCTGCGACCCAGCCTCGTGCTGGCTTTGTAGGTGTAATTGTGAGTCACATCGAACCTGTGCAGAAAGTGGGAAGACAATGAGTCCCAACTGCATTGGCTAGAGCCTCCCTGGTCCAGGCTCAGTTGGTGAAATCCCAATTGGCCCAGGCGTCATCCATTA